ATTTGAGAAGACACAATTTAACATTTTTGGATAGCACAAAACACAAACATGAGGAAAATAAGACAAATTATTAGGAAATATTTGCAACATGGTTATTCAGTTAAGTATTTGTTTAAACACCTCTTATGTGGTAGGTGCTACCACATACAATGGCTGAGTAAGACAAAGAATACCCTTGCATTCATGGAGATTACCTTCTAGTGACAGATGATTCATATGACTGATAACATACAAAGAGTCCTTACAACTGATAACCCAACAGAAACATGATAAGAAAATATTAGTAGATAATTCAGAGAAGAATTCCAAATTACCCTAAACATACAATGGCACCTATTGCATTTCTAAGAGGAAACTGAGTATTTCTTCCCAAGTCTGTCTTTAGCTACCTCATGTTGGTAGTCTGAACTCAGTCATGATGGAAATATTTATACCATGGAAATCAGCAAATGCAACAAGTCAGGGTTTATTATTTTGTTAATTGTCTAAATTTAAAGAGTGATAAAAATATTTAAAATGCAGATTAAACTTGAAAATGTGGCATTGTCTGTAGCCATTAGGTTATGAATAACAGGAACTATTAAGGAGATATTCTTCTAGTATTTAAAAACTATCATCAGGCCAGGCATTTAGCTCAGCGGTTTTGCCGCTTGCACAAGCACCCGAGTTCGATCCCTGGTACCAAAAAAAAATAAATTAAAATAAATAAATAAAAACTATCATCAGGGCTGGGGATTTAGCTCAGTGGTACAGCGCCTGCCTCACAAGGCACCTACCTACCTCACACGTGCAAGGTCCTGAGTTTGACTGGGGGAGGGGGGTGACGACACAAAAACAAAAAAAAATTTTATCAATTCAGCAAAGTCACTCCTCTCTTTGATGAATGAGTGAAGTTCCACTAGATAATGCTGAAACTAAAAGGGATCCCAATTAGTGAGTAAAATTTGTACAAAGATGAAAAATAATTTAATAGTAAGATCACATTTCAGATTTAATGACAATTCATTTATTGGGAAGTTAGCGACCTGAAATGAAACTCCATTTGTCAAATCGTGGTTGAACTGCAATGACGGACTGCATGTCGATATAAGTTCAGAAAAAATCAGGGAAAGCATTTTTAACATATAACTGACTATATAGAACTTATGATACAGAGCCCTGTGTATTGTTTACTATTTGTAAATTGTATATCTTCACTACCTATAAAATGTATAATAAATTTATATTTTTAAACAAAAAATAACTCAATTAGTGGTTGCCTAGGGATAGAAAACAAGGGAAGAGAGGATTATGCAGAATCATTAGGAAACTTTTGGAGGTTCATTCCGGTATGTTCAGAACTCCTGATATGTTCATTATCTTGATCATGATGATGGCTTCATGGGTGTATAGATATGTTGCAACTTATCAAATTGGATAATTTAAATATATGCCATTTGTTGAATTAGAAGACTTAATAAAACTATTTAAAAGAAGAGCACCAGGCGTGGCAGTGCATGTCTGTAATCCCAGCACTCAGGAGAGGCTGAGGCAGAAGGATCACCTCAAATCCAAGGCCAGCCTAACTGACATGAGATCCTGTCTCAAAAAAACAGGGGCTGGGGATTTAGCTCAGTGGCATCGGGCCTGCCTCACAAGCACAAGGTCCTGAGTTCGATCCCTGATATCAAAAAAAAAAAGGAAAAAAAAAATCAAACTGATAATCAATGAAACAGAAGTTACACCCCAGAAATAAACCCTCAGATTTATGCTTAACTGATTATTGACATGGGTACCAAGACAATTTAATGGGGGAAGAGTAAACTTTAACAATGAAAGGCCACTAGAGATGCACGTGGACAAGAACAATTCTGGGTGCCCACTTCACACAGCACACGAAAAACTAACTGAAAATGAATCAGCAAATGCAAGGTGTGGTGTTGTACACCTGTAATCCCCACACTCCGGGAGGCTGAGTTAGGAGGATCACAAGTTTAAGACCAGCCAGGAATTTAGTGAAACCCTGTCTCAAAATTTAAAAAGGGGTTGGAAAAAGAGAAAAGAAAGAAGTGAGGGGGAGAAGGAGAAAGAGGAAGAAAAGAAGGTAGACAGGTGGGTAAGTAGATACGTAGGTTGGTTGGTTGACTTCAAAGACACATGAAAAGAATAGAAAATGGTAAATCAGACTAATACTAAATTCAAAGAAACCTGGAGTATGAGAAAATGAGTATGAGAAAAGTAGACTTCATAATAAGCACTGATAGCAGAGATAAAAAGGGCCATCTCACATCGATGAAAAGGACTGATTTGGCACAGAAACATAGTAATCTCATGTGTGGGTAGGCACTTCATAACAAAACTTTTCAAAACGCATGAGGCAAAAAATGACAAGATTTTCTGAAAGGGGAAATGAGACGAATCCATAATGACAAGACGTAAACATTCCTCTCAGGGACTGATGGAACGAGTAGAAAGTCAGTAAAATATAGATGACTGATGAGATATGTACACTCTCAACAAAGTTGACGTAAGCTATACAGATAATATCTGGTACTATGAAACAGTAAATGAAAAGCTTATATACAGAGCTATACAACAAATTTCAATAAGCTAACAAAGACTGAAATTATACAATATATATTGTCTAGAAAGAAGACAAATAAATTAGAAGTCGCTTATAAAATATTGTAAAAATCTTCAAATATTTGAGGACAAATCCACATAAAGGAAGACATCACATAGAAAATTAGAAAAGTCCACTGCACTGAATATGATAAAAACAGATCATATAGGGGCCGGGGATTTAGCTCAGTAGTTCTGTCGTCTGCCTTGTAAGCGCAAGGTCACGAGTTCGATGCCCGGTAACAAAAACCGAAGCAAAACAAAACAAAACAGATCATATAAAAATTTGTAGGATTCACCTATAGCAGGACGTCAGTGAAATCAATAATTTTAAATACTTATATTAGAAAACAATATGTACAAACATTGTCATAAGCTTCTACCTGAAAAGTAAGTAGAAAGAAAAAGAATCACAATAAAAGCAAAAATCAAAGAAAGAGGAAACAGGAAAAAAATTCCATAAATCCAACTTACTAAACTTTAGCTAGAGCCAAGCATGGTGATGCACACCTGTAATTCCAGCACCGGAGGCTGATGCAGGAGGATCACCACGAGTTCAAGGCCAACCTGGGCTACTTAAGTGAGTTCAAGGCCAGTCTGAAGTAAATAGCAAGATCCTGTCTCAAAAAACAAAAACCACCAAAACTAAAACCACATTAAAAGAAAACTATGAGGGTATGTTTATGATCCTGGAGAAAGACAAGCCTTCTTTAACAAGATGTTAAAGCAAAGGCTCTAAATAAAGGGAAGAATATATTGTGTTTATCAAAATTAAAATTTTCTACACCATAAAACTTAGACAAGAATCTAACTGGGAGATATATTTGAAATTACTAATTATTAGAGTCCAGGATTCAAACAACACAACACAAAACCAAGAAAGAAGCCTTCTTAAACTCTTTAGGTACAAGATGCACCCCAAATGGCAGCAGGAATAAGCAGATTCATAAAGAATCTAATTGGCAAAAAGAATTAAACTGTGTTATATATATGTCCTCACAATAATTGCAATTATGTATTGTAAATATGTACTAATAAAAATAAAAATTTTAAAAGACCAAAAAAAAATCAAATGGATGTCAAATGTGCAAAGATGATGGCCCTTACCAGCAATCCAGCGAGTACAAAGGCATTTCCACTCAACAGATTGGTGTTTACTAATATCAAATGGTGACATGCATATGTGGAACAATAGGTACTGCAACTGGGGATACTGACTGATACAAACCCTGCAGCGTGACTACAGAGAGATTTTGAGAGTATATGGTGAATATACTTCATTAGATGTCAGCAATTCTCTCGTTTTACATCCTAGAGAACTGTAATGCTCCACGTATGGAGGCACATGCCTGTAATCCCAGCACACTGGGAGGTTGAGGCAGGAGGATCCCAAGTTCACATCCAGCCTGGGCTACTCAGTGACTTAGATCCTGCCTAAAAAGTAAAAAGAAACAAGGGCTGGGGATGTAGTTCAATGTGAAGACCCTGAGTTCAATCTCCAATACTACAACAAAACAAGACAAAAACAAAAAAACAAACACACAGCCACATAAGAAGGTATGAACAAAGATAAGTACTAAAGAAATGTTTCAAGAACTAAAAACTTGGTGACAACTTAAATACCAAAGAGAAATGACTAAATAAACTAGGATATTTTCATGTGGATGAAGTTAAAATAAAGAAAAGATCTCTATATGTAATAACATGGGAAGGTATCTATAACTACTGCTGAAAGATGATACGGAACAATGCATCTGTATAGAAATAAAAGAAAATGCTTACATGTAATGACTATCTACATAAAACTATATATAGAAGTATGTAAATATATATAAAAGGATTTGCAAAGGTACACAGGAAAGCAGCTCTGGCGAGAAGAAGGAGCAAGATTTGGGAAAAGCTATTATTCAGGTTCTTGGTCAACTTTCTCAAGGAGAATGTATTATTGTATTATTTATGTAACTACTGTATAAACTGATATTTAAAAAACCTGCTGATTTTAGATGTGCTTACAACTGCTGTTTAAGGAACTTCTTTCCATGGCCATTGAATGGCTGCTGCGCTCTAAGGGCCTCCCCAAGGAACAGTCTGAGAAGCCCCTGCCACCTCTGATCTAGAATACCGTAACAGTTTGCAATAAATATCAATGCTTTTTTTAAGTCTCTCTCCATATTACCTTCTAATCTTTCCTCAGTACCTCTCAGTCCAAAACGCTCTTGATTCCATTAACCTGTTTAAATTTCTTCATAGTAACTGCTACTATCTGAACTTATCTATTTCTTTAAATTTATAGTCTAGTTTCCCGCTTGAATGGGAATGATAATTTTGATCTTATATGCTTTTAACTGAGCCATTTAGAGCTTTTCTTACATTACCAAAGACACATTTTATTTACTTACCTTAGTTGGAAAAGGAAATTTGGAAGGTTCTGTTTTGCATGGTGTATGAATAGCCGTTAGAGGGGGAGGCCATGAGTGCGTCATCTCCTGAAATGTAATTATTACAGTTTGTTTTCAACCAGGTCAAGGATAACAAACTATACAGCTAAAAGCCAGATTTGCACTTATAAATACTGGTTTCCTGATTGCTCCTCCAAATTATATTTAGTCAGTAAGTATTGATAAAGCACAACTGGGTGCAAGGCACTACGGGGCTGGTAATAAAGGAAAGTAAAAAATAAATACTCCCTGCCTTCAAGGAGTTTACAGTTAGGATGATGAAATCTGTGAATAGTTTCAGTAATCAGCCTATAATCAAGTACAAGGCACAAAATAAAACACTACTGAGGAGAGTTTACTGGGGAGTGGAGGAAAGTGATAGGAAACAGCCAGCATCTACTGGGTGCCGTCAATGGAGCAGACAGTATGCTCAGTGACTTACATGTTTGTTGCTCATTTAGGACTCACAATGCCATTATGACACAGATAACCTGACTACCCTATATCTCTACCTAGGATGGAAATGAAGCATAAAGGTTCAATTCATTCAAGGTACTCAATTAGTAAGTAAGGGACACAAAATTTCACCCTAGAAAGTCTGACTACAGAGCACCATGTGCTAATAGAAAAATCAGGCCAGGTAAGAAAATCTGAAGAGAGTTCAAAAACACACAAGGAGGAAAACAGACAAGCAAGACCTTAAGTCCAATTTCATTTAATGCTTTCTGTCTAATAATGCCAAATATGCCCAAGCAGGGTTTAGATAAGATTACTATATGTCAGAAAAGTAGCAGAGAGAGAGGTATCAGACTTAGAAAGGAAAAAAATTTTTAAAAATTAAAAAAAAAACAAAAAGGAAAAAATGTTTTCTTTCTGGCATTTAGTTCAAAATAAGCCATCATGTAAATTAAAGGTGTTTTATAATGCCTAGGAATTTATCCTATAGTGATAACTACAGTTATATGCAGATGCACATTTCAGGGGCTCACATTTAAAAAATGGAAATACCTAGGTATATAAACTGATTAAATAAATTGCCAGACATCCATACAATAGAACACCAAGCAGACATTAAAATGAGAGAAATTTAACTTCTGATATGAAATGATGTCCACAGTATACTGTTAGGTGACAATCACAAATAATAGTCCTATTAAATGTTTATATATGAAAATGTCTCTGGAAGGACAATTAACAGTGGATTCCTAGGGCCGGGGATTTAGCTCAGTGGTTCTGTCACTTGCCTTGCAAGTGCAAGGACCCGAGTTCGATCCCTGGTATCAAAAAAAAAAAAACAACCCACAACAACAACAACAAAATAAACAGTGGAATCCTTTGGGCACTAGAATAACAGAAAGAAGAGTCCAGGGCATAATACAATATTTACTAGAACCTCTTAAAATGGCCACCTGCACAGAAACTGCTCTTTACTCTCTTAGAATGCTCTTATTATTTCCTACATCCAGGTCGAGAACGTCCACTCAAAGTGTGCAGCTATCATTATGAGCACCATATCCCCAGTGCTCGGCACATAATAGGTACTTAGCATGCTTTGAACTAATGAATCAGTTTTTTCAATAAAACAATGGATTAAAATTTCTTAGATTCACAATGGGATTCCTAGAAACAGTATTACTACAAATTATAAAAATAAAAACAAGAAAACATGAAGGGAATGTGGATCTGAAGTTTCTTGCACACTGCACATAGGGAAAAGGAAAAGAAACAGAAACTCATGTACCCAAGGGTCTTAGCATTGGCATTTTCTTTTCTTTTTTTTTTTTTTAAAGCACTGGCATTTTCTATCTCATACAACAAAATACTCTCCCAACTGAAAATGTATTTTATTCCCTATCATCAAGTGACTGAGCATCTAATATACTCAAGGCTGTGTGTCAAGCTTTATATATATAAAATGTGAAATAAATGGTCAGCAATATCAAAGAGATAATTAAATAAAAGAAAATCTTTCAGGTATTAAAATTCCATGTATTGCTGAGGATTCAGGAGGAAAGATATAATGCTCCCTGAGACTTTAGATACATAGCACCTAAAAAACTATTACGAGATTAAAGGAAACAGTTATCACTGTGATCTAATATAGGAGGGAAAAGGTTTTCATTGGGATTCTAAGGAAAAAGAAAAATCAATATACTACTGAGGAGGAAGGAAAAATACGACAAGAAAAACTTCGCTTCATGGAAGTAAAAGAAACCAGGCAGGGTGGTGCATGCCTTTGATCCCGATACTCTGGGAGGCTTGGGGAGGAGAATTGCAAGCTCAGCCCCAGACTGGGCAACTTATTATTTAGCAAGACCTTGGCTTGAAATAAGGTCTGAAGATGTAGCTCAGTGTGAAGGGGCTGTGTTCAACTCCCAGAACCAGGGAAGGGGTGGTGGTAGGAGGTAAAACAGAAAGTGTATGGTTTAAGGAAACCAATTCAGCAAAAGTGGTCAATGGGTAGTAGGAGAGGTTAATATTGGCCTGTGAAGGGTCTAGAATGTTAAATCTGGACATTCTTTTTTCATTTTTTTGTTTTGTTTTGTTTTGCCTTTTGTGGTACTGGCGATCAAACTCAGGACCTTGTGCTTGGTTTCAAGGCAGGCACGGCACCACTGAGCCGAATCCCCGGCCCTGGAGACATTCTTTTTTCTAGGGATCTTACAGAGCCACTAAAAATTTTAAGAGGAAAAAAAAAATTAAGTGATGAAGACCAGGGATTAAAGAAAAGAATGTGGAAGCAAGGTAGAAGACAGATGAACAAAAAGACATGGAAGGCAGAAAGGACTCTGTTAAAATTATTAAAGCTTAGGGCTGGGGATTTAGTTCAGTGGTTCCGCTGCCTGCCTCGCAAGCACAAGGTCCCAAGTTCGATCCCCGGTACAAAAATAATTAAAGCTTGGGCCGGGGATTTAGCTCAGTGGCACTGCGCCTCCCTCGCAAGTACAAGGTCCTGAGTTCAATCCCCAGTACCAAAAATTTAAAAATAAATAAATAAAAATTAAAATTACTAAAGCTCAAGACAGCAGATATGCAAAGAAAGAAAGATATATTCACTGAAATCTCAAAGTCCACACCTAACTTTATGATTAAATAGAATATGAGAGGACGAAGTTAAGATATAATGAGGATTCTACACAAGCAGGGGGGGAATACTAGTACTACTAAGACAGGAAGTCTGACAAGTATGACTTTATATATGTTGAGTCTAAAGAAGTAAACAGAAATTCAAATGGAAACCCAGTTAAGAAGCAATTCAAAGACATAAATAAAAACCCAAAGGAAGTCAAGGCAGGAGAGAAAAACTGATAGCTATTTAACAGATAAAGCCAATGAGGGTGGGAAAGGTAAGTTAAAGTACAGACAAAAGAGACTAGGAGAATATACCCCTCCTTAAAATTTAAGAGAGGTCACAAGGCTTGCAAAAAGGCAGAGAACAAGGTGGCAAGCAAGGTGGATGGGAAATAAAAACAATAAAGCAGAACAATAGTCAAGAAAAGAAGAATGATGTTTTCAGAAAGGAAACTTTAAAATTATCAAACAGCAAAGGCCATAAAGAAAATAAGAACTTAAGCTGGAATAGGAGCCTGTAATCCCAACTACTCAGGGAGGCTGAGGTAGGAAGATTATATGTTTGAGGCTTGCCTAGCATGTATGAGGCCCAGGGTTGTATCCCCAGTACTGCAAAAAAAAGGGGGGGGTGGGTAAAAAAAGAGCACAAATTAAAGCCCCAATGTAAAGGAGAAGGTAATAAGGAAAATGGTAGAAGGAAAAGGAGATAGTAGTCCACTGAAGGAAGGAATGGGAGAAAAAGGGTTGAAGCTGTTAGTCTCAAAAATCCATAGTGAAGGCCAGGTATGGTGGTGCATGCCTGTAATCCAAGCACTCACAGGAGGCTGAGGCAGAAGGATTGCTGGGAGTTCGAATACAGCCTAGGCTACACAGTGACCTTAAGGACAGCCTGAACTACAGAGCATGACCCTGTCTCCAAAAAAAAAACAAAAACCCCACAGTGAAATGCAAGTAAAACAAAAATTAAAGAGCTCACCTGCCCCCCGCAAAAAGGTATTAGTGATATATGATAATTTTCTCCTCTGAGCAAAAAAGCAGTCATTGTTACTCCCTAATTCATTATACTTTCTTTCCAACAGAAGTTTTCCTTATCTAACAGAGGAATGCACTTTTTTGGTCATGTCCAGTTTTAAAATGTATCCAATAAACTTTCAAAATGTGCAGTGCTCACTCAGAGGAGCCCCTTTATTGTAAGATTTCACTAGTATGGACAGATGAATCACAGAGCAAGCTAGTTTCAACATTAATGGTTTGAATGATAACTACTGAGTTTTTTAGTGCTTCAAATTATTGACTGATAAACCTGAAAAAGTACAGTTATATTTGGTTTCTTCCTCTTTTCAAGCCAAACTGCTAAGATTAGAATTTGTTTTACTTAAAAACAAAGTCAACTCTTTGAAGGCAAATATTAGAGAAATTATGTGATTCAGAACATAAGCGTAAGCAGAAAAATTATTTATGATGAACACAATGAGATTACACATAAAATCAATTTGTTGCTTCAGATCCTTTGTGAAACAGGTGAAAGGAGGGTAACGGTTAAAATAAAATATTGAGAAGACTTTAAAAAAAACTTACTTTAAGAATTTCATCTACACAGCTCACATCACCAGAAGCTGATGCCTTAAAAGAAATGTGGAGAAACTTATTAGATTTTTAGTATTCACTGCACAGATTTTAAAACATTAGAAATGACATAGAATTTAAATATTCATAATCCCGCTATTCTAAATCAGAACATTACTTATGGAACCTTTGGACTACTTTCTCTAAATATAAATTTTAATTATCAAACTGCATAGCTTGAAAACTTTGTATTTTTTAAATTTAAAAATTTTTAATCTTTCTTATATTTTAAATAATTTTTAAAATGTAATTTTTCAGCTAAGTAGCTTATCCAAAAATTTAAGTGTATTCATATACAAAATATACCATTGTACCAACATGTATCTATCATTTCACACAGACTAACAGAGTAAAAGGAGTATTAATGAAAGATTACTGGTCTGGAACAGTATGGACATTTTACACACTTTCAATCACAGAAAGTAAAACTGCTTATTCTAAGGCACAAACAAGAATTAAAGAGCTGAACTCAAATCTAACATATCATCACTGCACTGTTCTCTGGAGTGGAGTAATTAGATGACAAATGCAACTAACCCTGAGTTTTCCAAGGGCACAGGAAAGACTCCTAAATGTACTCAAAAGGGCTGGGGATTTAGTTCAGTGGTTCCGCAGCCTGCCTCATAAGGGCAAGGAACCGAGTTCGATCCCCAGTACCAAAAAAAAAAAAATAATAATCACCCTAAATGTACTTAAAACAGTGTTTTATGTATTCCCAATTCCTCCCCGCCATTTTGAACTGTGAGCTTTAATTTTTGGCTACTGACATTCTTTTTCGAATTTTTCACTGCACAAAGTACATTACAAAAAAATTTCAACTACTGTAGAATGATTGCTTACTTTTTCATTTTAAATATCCTGTTTTAGTATGAAGTTACAGCAGCTATCTTAACCTTTTTTTTTTTCTTGGTACCGGGGATCGAACTCGGGTCCTTGTGCTTGCGCAGCAGGTGGCAAAACCACTGAGCTAAATCCCCAGCCCCATCTCAACCTTTTTAAGTATAACTAGGAAAGGACAACAGTATCCAAAACTATACATTGTCATAGACCCAAATATCCCAACAATCACTACCAAGAACTATGGCCCATGTCTTATTCATGAGAACACTAAAAGAATAGAGAATTTTCTTTTTAAACTCAAGAGGAGAAAAACTAAGGTACTGGTGGATCATACTTTTATTCTATAACTGACTTGCCATTTTAATATTTGAATGTTAAATGAATGACATTTTCTCTATTTTTCCAGAACAGAAGCTCACAGCTTTGTTGTTTTTTTCTTTGGTACTGGGGATAGAACTTGGGTCTTTGCGCTTGCGAGGCAGGCGATGAAACCACTGAGCTAAATCCCCGGCCCAAACTCACAGCTTTATAAATCCACTTGAGAGTCAAGTATTTCTTAAGCCGCACCCCTCCTAAACTTTTATATTCTTTACTTTTTTTTTGAGACAGGGTCTTGCTCTGTAATTCAGGTTGGCCTTGAACTCACTATATAGCTCATGCTGGCCTCGAACATGCAGCAATCCTCCTGTCTCAGCCTCCCAAGAACTGGGATTACAGGCATGTGCCACTAAGCCTGGCTATATTCTTTACTATTAAGGCAAAAAGAAAGTTCAAATTCATAACTTCACGGCCAATTATTCCACATAGTCACAATGTTGAAATAGTCTAAATGTGTGACTCACATCCAGTGGCTGGGAAGGTATTTTCAACTTGGTGAGATGTGCTTTGGTGCTGGGCTTCAGCTCAGTCATGCTGTTGCCATGGGACTGGCTGCTGTAGTGCTCAGAGGACAGCTTTGGTTCCATGGACTCCTGTCCGTCCATTGGCCGCACATAGGCAGTGGGTTTCTGTAACATTGAACTGGATTTTGATATCAACGAAGGTGGGAAAGACTGATTTGAGTGCTGCCCACTTGAAAACGGTACACGGGAAGGAGAATCCCAATTGGCATCAGGGTCTCGAGGTGACTTGGAACGCTGATGTTCCTTGCTATGGTGATCACTCCCATGAGATCTGGAATGACTAGAGCTTAATGAAGAAACAGCCTGGGGTTTTCCAGGGCTAGACGATCGTGATTTGGAGTGTTCTGATCCATGCTGGCCTTTTTTCCGGCTGCTGCCATATGAGTCACGGTCATGCCTCTGGCCGCTACTGTTAGTGCTACTGCTAGCACTTGCACTGGTCCTCTGGCTACTATGTCCACTCTGTAAGCCTGAGGACCGCTTCTGAGACTGAGAAGTACTTGGTGCAGGTCCTACAGGAGTCCATTTGCTACTCTGATGAGAGCTTCCATGTCTCTGTTCATAGAAATTTGGTTTTGATTTTTCATCATCTGTTGTTGGTAGTGTAGGCTTGGGAATTGCAACAAGCTTTGGTATAGCCCTGTCTCCTATTAAATCTTTCATTTCTTCGTAGTTTCCCAGCATACTCTGAATACGACTTGATAACTTATCTTCTTTGCTAGTCTACAGAAAAGACAAAATAAGATTACTCTATTAGCATAATCAGAAATAAGATATGCTTCTAGTTAAGCTTCAAATGGAAAAGGGGCTTTTCTAAGTAAGTCTTCACCTCAAGTCTTAAAGTTAGTATCTACATGCAAGCTCTAAATATATAATTTTCATGGTGAAAAAAATTCACCAAAAGTATCTGAAAATAACCATGGTAAAATACAAATATTCTGTAGGACACTAAGAAATACATGTAATAGGTTCCAGGAGAGAAAAAAATAATACAAATTGCACTAATAAACATTCTGGACCAGTAGTAAAAGTCTTTCGAAGAACAGAAAAGTAATCCACCATTATGTAATAAGTTCCAGACCAGCAGATTAGCTAATTCATATATTGATAGTCTATAAAAGCACTATATCCCTTATAATTCAATGATATAGTTAGAAACAAAAATTTAGTGAAACAAGTTATACCCATTTAATCTTAATTACTTTGCTGCTGTGACTCACCAGTTAATGAAAATCTTAAAAAAAAATTAAGCAAATAAAACTCAGTGATAAAGTTTTAAATCCTGGCAATTAACTTGGACCAATAAACTCTGACTACTTTTAAAGTTAATAATTTAAGTTTCAAAAGTTATTCTTGGGAAATAAGAACATCCAAAACATCTATAAGCATTAGGACTCTTCCATATTGATACACATAGAAGTTTACTAATTAAAAAGAAATAAAAACTGAACCATCACTATTTGGGGGGGGGGGGTACCGGGGATCAAACCAAACTCGGGACCTTGCACTTGCGAGGCAGGTGGGGGAACCACTAAGCTAAATCCCCAGCCCCTGAACCATCACTATTTTGAGATTAGCAAATATCAAAAATGATTTTAAATTGTTCAAAAAATCTGACGAAGAGCTATTAAAGACATCACAATCAGAAAACAAATCCAATTACTATACTGCAATTACAAAATAAATGGTAGGACAATTCAAAGATTCTGGGTGAGGGCCAGGGATGTAGCTCAGAGGCGCCATGCCTGCCTGGCAAGCCAAGGTCCTGAGTTCGATCCCCGGTACCAAAAAAAAAAAAAAAGATTCCAAAGGAAAGCTTCTGTTTGTTTTTGGTACTGGGGATCAAACTCCAGTCCTTGCGCTTGTGCAGCAGGCGGCGAAACCACTGAGCTAAATCCCCGGTCCGCTTTTGTTTTTTTTAATGTCTTTAATCTCTAATTTAATCCTCAACCCTAAATTCTTAATTCCAAGTCTTATATTACATTCACATAAATGATATCAGTATGACTGCCTTTAAATTGGAAAGTCCTTAAAAGCTCTGCATAAATGGCTTAAAGCTCTGCATAAAGGGCACATCATTTCTATAAATACCAAATGTTATAGAAGGGCTACAATGAGGATGTGTTACTTTTAATATCTCATCAGGAAAAAATGTCTAATACCCTCTCAATGTCATGTTATAAACCAACAATTATCACTACTGCTAAACCAGTGCTATTGCTATTAAACATAGTATAACCCTTTAAAATGTAAAACACCTGAAATACAAAGTCAAATCTGTCACCACAAAAGTTATATTAGAGTCATTAGAAGTGGTACTATTCACCTTTCTTTGGAATCTCAAATCAGATACAACAGCAATAAAAACTATAATTGATTCAATTTATCGAACATTTCTGACAATTTCAATATAAATGTGATAGTTAAATAAGTATTAAATGCATGAGAAGGAAAATCAAGAGAATTTACTCTATGATAACAGAAAAAGAATCCAACTTATACTCAAGATATGTTTACTCAAACATACAAAAAATTAATGAAACCTAGAGTAAACTAAGCTAATTAATGGCAAGATAGGTGGAGAAGTAAAAGTATCTATGAAATAGTCATCTCTGATTGATATTACAGCCAAAGAACACCTAGGAAGTAACTAAAGGCTTTAAAGGTGCAATCCCTTTCCAGTGTACAGCCAGGAGTATAGAAATGCATGTTTGAGCCAATTCAGATCCCATTTTTAAGAGTAAAGGACAAGCCAGGGATTTAGCTCAGTGGTTCCGCCGCCTGCCTCAAAAATGCAAGGTCTTGGGCCAGGGATTTAGCTCAGTGGTTCCAGTGCCTGCCTTGAAAGCGCAAGGTCCCGAGTTCGAGCTCCGGTGCCAAAAAAAGAAAAAAAAAAAAAAAAGCAAGGTCCTGGATTTGATCCCCAGTACAAAAAACAAAAAATAAAAAGAAAAAAAGTATAGCACAAAAGATTTCTAGGGTGCAGGTAATGCTCACTTCTTGAACTGAGCACTGATTTTCTGAGGTTGTTCATGTGGTAAAACATTACTCTTCAAGGCATAACACTTACTTTGTGTAGTTTTATATGTGCCCATTTATATTCCAAAAAAGCTTACCCAAAAAAGTATGTTCTATTTAGAAGAAAAGAAAATATATTAAGTGGTATTCATGATAATTTTTCTAAGAAAAAAATGAAAATCTAAAAACATTTTAAAAACAAAAGTGTCACATAGATGGGAAAAAATTCAAAACAGGACAACTTACAACTTTGTATGGCTCAGCAAAGAGAGGAGAGCTAGGTGGGAAGGCGTCTTCACCCTGCTGAATTTCCTGATTCCGCCTTTCCCTTTCTTTCATACGCAGCACATTCCGGTCTTCAAGGTTCATGTTGCTATAAAGAGAAACACAATCTTTATATCACACAAAGATGGAAAAATTAAATTTTCTATACTGATTTTGTCAGTTTAATACTTGAATCAGATTCCCTTTCACCTTCCAAGTAACAAAAGGCATTAATGCTGAAGTTGCCTTTTGGTAATGGCTTTATCAACTAATACCAACAGTCTTCTGCAACTATACAGAGAAAAAATGCTGGTCCAGAATAGTAGAACCCACTCCTCTACTGAAACATTTAACCTTATCAAGTTTTTTTTTTAATTTTTTAAAATTTTTGGACAAGTACTCTACCACTGAGCTACACCACTAGCCCATCCTTACCAACTGTGTATATGTGTGGGGGGTTACTGGGGGATTGAAATCAGGGAGCCACATCCCAAGCCCACTCCCTCCTTCTATTTATTTTTTTGAGATAGGGACTCCCTAAATTGCCCAAGTCAGGCTCACACTTGTGATATACTTCCACCTCTGCCTCCTAAGTAGCTGGAATTACGAGAATGAGTTTATGAATTTTTAAAGTAGTCTGTTAGCTAAAAGTAGCTAAAAGATGTATATTCAGAGGAAAAGTAGTACTTAAAAGACCCCCAACCTTCAATATTTCCTATAAGCTCTCCCTGCTTCCGCTTCAGTAATCTACCTATTCTTTGCCCTTAGTGACATCCAACCCATCCCCAACAACTCAAGTTCTTTTTCTCTACTTTGTATCTATCTTACCTTGATTTCTTTTTGTCCCAAACATAACTTCCTTGACTTTCACTCTTATGGCGGTTTGACCTGAACTTTTTTGTTGCTTTAGTTTTCCTTAAAAAATTACATTTTTACTTTAAATGTATTAATATTTCAATCAACTCAATAAATGGCTAGAGGTATTCACTGATAGAATCTAATATTAATTTAGATTAGTAACTGTAGCTAAGAACTGTGTTGAAAAACTTTTGGGGTGAGGAGAAAATGCAAGTATACTTTCTGCAATCATAAAAATATAGGAGTGTCATTTCTATAATCATTGTATTTTCACTAGAACAAATCAAGGGAAATAGCTTATTTATAGTAGCAGGGGCTTTTGGTTAAATAGACAATGATGAAAAAGTTGTCAGAGCTTGACACGAGGGATTATTATCATATGCAACACCTTTTTGTATGGGTAGATTAAATCATCTGTCATGGCTGTGTTTAAAAGAACAAGTCCTGGGCCGGGAATTTAGCTCAGTGGTTTCGCTGCCAGCTGCGCAAGCACCAAGGACCCGAGTTTCATCCCTAGTACCAAAAAAATAAAATAAAAGAACAAGTCATGGGCCAGGGATTTAGCAGTGGTGCCACTGCCTGCCTCCCAAGTGGAAGGTCCAGAGTTCAATCCCTGGTACCCTCCCCCCAAAAAAGAACAAGTCCTGCTGCAGGCCAAAAGCAAAAATTAAATTATACTCATGTATCATTTCTACATTTCTAGCCTACAATTTTAAACCAAATCAAAAAATTAAAGTCAATCGAGGTAATTTTCTTTTTGAGACAGGGTCTCGCTATGTAAGTTCAGGCAGGCCTCAAACTCACTATGTAGCCCAGGCTGGCCTTAAACGCCAGGTGATCCTCCTGCTTCAGCCTCCTGGGATTACATACAGGTGTGTGCTACCACACCAGCTTTGGGTGGGTGGGTGGGGTTTGAGACAGACTTCCTCCATAATTCAAGCTGGCTTTGAACTCATGGTGAACCTCCTGCTTCAGCCTCCCAAGTGCTGGGATGACAGGTGTGTACAACAAGATAACTGTAATTATAAAAGTAGAATGGGCAGCAAAATCAATATACTCTTGAGGGCTTCTATTAGCAGGTCAAACAGTGAAAGCAAACATCCAAAAATAAAACTTCCTGATTTGCATAATTTAGTATCATGCAAGTAAAGTAATTTAATGGGGGGAGGGTGCAGAAAGTTCTAAGTGTGTCTAATGTATATTCAAGTTTTTCTTGTTTGCATGATATTCTAATAAACTTAGATAAGAACATAATCTATTTCAGGTATACTGAGTGGTTTCTTAAGTTTTCCTAGTACTTAGCACTCTAAAACCAAAACCATAAAAAGTATCTATCTTTAATGAATAGCATAAAACAGCTATACTTAAGTATTCAGAGACTAAAAACAATGAATAATTATCCTACAACACATTTAGGCTGATTAATAAATTTTTATTACTAACCATCAAGTTTCAATTAGGCCTCTTGAACTACGGTGCTGCCAATAAAGATATGAACAGTCTAAGGGACATGTTAACTACCAGTTTCCTTAAATTGCCTAAATTCAAATACTGAAAGATCAGGCTGGGGATGCAGCTCAGTGGTAGATTCAGGGCTTAAGGCCCTGGGTTCAGTTCCCACCACACACACACAAAAAGTATATGATCCAATGTTATGCATTCAACAGCACTAAAATAATCATTTAAGAAGATTTGTATAAGCCAGGCATGATGATGTGCCTGTGGACCCAGCTACTTTGGGACTGAGGCAGGAGGATCGCTTCTTGAGCCCGTAACACTGCCAGCCTGGGCTGGACAAAAGGAAAAAAAGAAAGAAGGGAAAAAAGGAGAGAGAGAAGGAAGGTGGAGAAGGGAAGGAGAAGAAGAAAGAAAAGGAGGGATTAGTTGTATATTTGTTGTAAAAGCAAATTACAATTCACAGAATAAAATTCCTTTTAAGATTTAATGCTGAAGAAATTTTGCTTCTTTCTATGAGCAATGGAAGGCATCCAACCAATGGCTTCCTTCTAATAAGGCTGGCAGAGAGCTCAAAACTAAATTAATTGCTTCTAAAAATATCCCAGTTGTGGCTTTTACACTCTATTTTTGTGATGAGACTTATTTTTGTTATCAGACTACTTTTTTCCTCCTATGTCTCTGATCATCAATGTATCTCTGCCTAAAATAAAGTTTTCCCCCAAACCAATAATTCCAGTAATCTGCACTCCACTAAAATTGACAATGAATTTAAGTGTGAGTCAATCTGAAGTATATATTTGCCATCCAGGCAAAACTATTTTACAGCATATACCTCAGGACATCTGCAATTACTAAACTGAAATAGGATTCAGTTAAAATTACTGATCTGCTGTATCACAACAAAATGTGGGATAAGTTAAATACTTCTAAAAGAAAATTAGCAAGATGAGAGTTATCTAAAATTTTAATTACTTAATGTGAATTGTTTCAAGTATCCATGAGGTACTTATGTTAAACTAACACTGCACATTATAAACCATTCTCAATGGACAAAAAACCAGAAATTTTCAACTTTGCAGATTTGCTGCTAGTGGTGATGATGGGGTAGGAAATTCACTGCTACCGATAGAGCAAATCAGAAGTAAATGAGAGACCAAAGACCTTGCTATGAGAGAAGAATTGTCGTCAGTGTAGAAGTGGCCATGGAGAGCTCTTCAGCCATAGCCAGAGGTGGGGAACTAGGTGATGGCCACCCAGCCCTGACTCCATATGGGAACTCGGAGGCTTTTTTTTTTTTTTTAACCTGGGATTGAACTTGGGGCTTTTTTGTTTTTAGAGCCAGGGTGCCACTCTGTAATTCAGGATGTTCTTGAACTCACTGCATAGCCCAGGCTGGCCTTGAACTCATTTCCATCCTCCTGCCTCAGCCTCCTAGTGCTAGGATTATAGGCCTGCACATCCACACACAGCTCAAGTAATTTATTAAAATAGAGAACAAGGCAGGGCACAATGGCACGCCCCTGTCATTCCAGCACTGAGGGGCTGAGACAGGAGGACTGAAAGCGCTAGACTATGAGTGTGCCACTATTCCTGGCCCTCTATAGTAACTTGTAATAAATTTTCTGAATTTATTATTTCTGGGATGCATATTGTATTCAAATATATATTAAATGTGTTAGCTTTCTCTATCTGAAAAGCTAATGTTAAGTCCGTGTACTGGCAGTATTTTTCAGTATATATGTTTATTAGTGCATATTAATTTTACAAAATACTGGTTTTCATTGTAGCCGTGTAGTGTTTTATTATTGATAGTATTTATTTACTGGTATTGGGGACTGAATCAGCCTTCACACTGAGCTACATCCCAGTCCTTTATAATTTTTTATTTAGAAATAGGGTCTCATTAAGTCACTAAGTTCCCAGGCAGGGCTCAAACTTGGGAACTTCCCTCAACCTCCCAGAGTGCTGGGATTACAGGTGTATGCCACCACGCCGGATTTATTGGTCTTTTAAAATGTGCTACAGGGCTGGAGTGTACCTCAGTGGTAGAGCACCTGCTTAGCATGATGCCCTGAGCTGAATCCCCAGCACCAAAATCAAAAACAAACAAACAAAAAAGAAGAAAGCAAAACAGCAACAAGAAACTACCAGTACAAAAGGAAAGCATTTATTCTTTCACTCCTCTGCCTAAGCCATTTTAGTTCCTTATGTGAAGCATTCATTCTTCAAATTAGGGTTAGCTTAAATTTTGGGTAAATGCTAAACATACATTATTGTCAAGATTACATAATCTGGCCTTCAAGGAGGAAGACAAATCCAGTTTCTGTTTTCTGAAACCCTTGCCCATTTCTAGTCATTTTATAAACGTTTACTGAACAGCAGTTAGGTATGCATGAGGGATAAAAATGATGGCCCCTCTAGTGCAAAAATAAGAATCCAGGACCTTCCCTGTTTCCCCCCAAATGAAACCTAACCTGAACATAACCAGCTCTGAAAACCAGAGATCAAAAATGCCAGCCCCAGTCACCTGTCCTCTGCTGTCATTACACGGTGGCCACTGTGTAGAATAGCGAGGTCCGATCTGCCTGGCGCTGGCCGTCACCATGGCAACGACCAACACTTACCTTTCCATTAGGTCTCATTTTCAGGGAAACACAGTTACTGTGCAACTGTGTTTTAGAAAGCTGGAGGGGGCGGGGGGTTGGTCCAAATTATTTTGATTAGCCCAATATGTGAACTAATAATAGTAGCTCCCCTTTGTTGTGTATTCGCGCCAGGTGCCGAACTGTTTGC